GGGGGGGTGGTGGGGTTTTTAAGAAATCCTAGGTAGAAAGTAGATACAATGGGATACGGATTTATATCAAGCTCTACTTTCATTTCCACTTCTGTGTCAACTTTCTGCGGATTCTCCTATCTTGCCTGTCATTCCATGGTATTGTGCCAGAAATGCAAGGATATCGTAGTGATCAGAATATATATATAAAACTGCTCTTAATAAGAAAATTATCTACTATACACTCAACCAACTCTAATAAAATTCTATCTTATGAACTGATTAATATGGTATTTCGAAAACATATGATAAGGCTTTATCTGATTGGCTGCGTGAAAGAGATTCTCATAGTAATACTAAACCGAAATCCCGCTTTACTATAAATGGTTTACGTCTAGTACATCTACGCCGACTAACCTAGCCTGGATCTCAATAGCCATCTTTTTAGAAGCTCAAGAGTTCATATCGAGTAAGACGGAAACTGTCATTACTGTACTACCTTAGTTACCGTTAGTTACCGTTAGTTACTCTAGCCCCTGAATCGCAGGTTTCTTGCATCGCGTTGTCGTTTCGGATGTGACTTTGTACAAGTGCATGATCTTTCTCGAACCTTTCTTGGACTCCCTGTACAACCATGTACTCCGTAACATACAAAAACCTTGAAGTGCACCTTCCCCTCCTCCCTTTTCGCCCTTTTCCATTTTTTCCAGGGGCCCTGGGACTCCAAACCCCTCCCCCTATCCCCTGCCATTAGTACATGGCCATGGCACCTGCACGCACTAGATCGGCTAGCGGCAGGTATCTCAGATTGCAACCTACATGCAATCTGCCAATCTGCCAATCTATCACATTAATTATTGTATATAATTTCTCAAACCCTCCAGAACCTACCATGTTTTCATAGATCCTTTCCCTCTTTCTTGACTCGCGTTCATTTCTCATTCCTTTCTTCCCTTTTTGTATATCATCAACTACAGAATGACTTCGTTGAAGCTTTCACCGGGGTCGAGCATAACGATGGCTCACACCGCCCTCAACCGTTACCTTGGTCTCACCTTACTCCTCGCCTTTTGCTGGTACTTCGGCCCTTCGCTCAGACACAGGGGCGCACCAGTCTCGGGGTTGGGTAGCGACCTCGAGCAGTCGAATTGGATCAAGGAGGTATTGGCGAATAACAGCATTGAGACTGAGGTTTCCTTTGCGTCACGGACGCTGAAATATGTACCAGATGCGAAGGAGAGGTTGCCCATGACGGAGGTCAATCAGGATCTTTTCCCAGGCGGATTTACAGATATAAACGTTGGCTCAGACTCTCCCATTACCCTCCCGTCTGGATCAACGCTCAAAGTCCATGTCAACAAGATTCTGCGACCCGAGGATGTCAATGCCTCGAGTCTAATCTTCGGCGTCTCGACAACTTTTGGCAGATTCAACGGCGCAAAGACGACACCTATAAAGGAGTGGGCACGGTGGCTTACAGATGGAAAAGGGAACTCGAATGGTGCAGGATTGATATTGGCATTGTTCAACAGCACCAATGCAGAAATCAACCAAGCCCAAGAACGCCTCACAACCGCCGGAATCAATGCAACAGTCCTCGCCTCGAACAAAACCCTCGACATGCCAGGCCGCTACGTCGACCTCGTGCAGCTCCTCTGGAACGACCCTTCGCGCGCCGAGCGCAAATACTTCGCCCTCATCGACGACGATACCTTCTTCCCCAACATGCCGAGCCTCCTAGACATCCTCCATACCCACAACTCCTCCAAGCCATACTACATCGGCACCATAACAGAGCGCACAGACTGGATCATCCGGGACCACACTCCCATGGCCTACGGCGGCGGCGGAATCTTCCTCACTCCCCCCGTCGCAAGCACCATTTCCTCACTCCCATGCCTCGAGAAGGACAGCGACGGCGACTATGTGCTCGGCGGCGACCAAGGCGACAAACTGCTCTACAACTGCCTACACAACTACACCGAAATCTCACTCACCTACGAGCCACGCCTGAACCAAGAAGACGAGTTCGGTGACCCATCAGGGCTATATGAAAGCGGCCGCAATCTCTTGAGCATGCACCACTACAAGTCATGGCACCACACGGAGCCTGCGAAAATGCACGCCGTGGCCTCAGCCTGCGGCGGCGACTGCGTGTTGCAACGTTTCCAGTTCAACGACAACTTCATAATATCCAACGGCTGGAGCGTAGCGCAGTATCCCCACGGCATCGACTTCGACACTGCGCTCGTAGAAGGAACATTCGAACTACCAAATGACTATGACCTAGCAGATGTGTTGCATCTGTATGCATATGGAGCGTTGAGGAAGAGTCTGGCCAAGACGGGCCGCAAGAAGGGCTGGAATCTACTTGATGCTAAGGAGGAGGGCAGTGGCAGGGTGACGCAGGTTTATATCAAGAGGAGGGGAGATGAGCGGTGGTTGAAGAAGGGCGAAGAAGCGACATATGAGAGGGATGGTGTTATTGTTCTGACTTGGATTCCGTGAACGGACTAGGCTCCGTGTTGTGTTGCTCAGACAGAAAGAGACGAAAGGAAACGAGTCGTATCATACGAAAGGAAAACACTCGAATCCGGAGTAATGAATATAACGGCGGAAGCGATCCAGCCAGGGGAATGGGGTGTTGGATAATCAACCTGAAGGTATATACCACACTTGTTGGATACGAACGAACGAACGAGATGGAGCGTACCGCTGGTTATATGGATGTCATGATAGCTCGGCGTCGGCGTCCAGGCTTGATAGATTCAAGACTGACTCGAGAGGGAGGAGTTCTGCGATATACCCTTTATTTGCTATATATTTGAAAGATACCTTGGTTAAGAATCGCTCGAAATGAAGGGGAATAGGAAAATATATGTCATATCCCGTCCGTTCAATTCACATTTTACAGTATGGCCATTTTAGGAAAGGCGGTGATGGGGTTTTTATGTTGAAAGGGCATATATAAACGGGCAAGTGCCCTCACTCCCTTGAGATCCATCACAAATAGAATAGGTAGACGCGAGGCGGGGTTCTATAGTGTTTTCCGAGGCGAAGTGAAAGTCTATCAGGATACATACTGGCCTGCTTAACATGAGTTCTTCTATGGATATAGAAAGGGGGCGTGGATATGTGAATAGGATTATGCCTAAAGTTTCTTTTCTGGTTTTGGAATTCCATTGTATCGCACGAACAACTTTTGTGAATTAACAACCGCTTTTTCCCTGACAGCTATCTTATAACCTCTCGTCATCTAGTGAAACATTATACCAAAGAAACAACTGCGTTGCTCGAGGAAAGTCGCCTACTATAGAGTGGCACTGTAAAGAATAAGCATCAGGCTCACATTCAGTTCCAGCCGTCTCTGTCTAGAATATAAAGAGTGTCCCTCGCTCTTTCCCCTTCCCAAACATGGCTACCCAAGTTTCTCTGATTCTCTGGTAAAACCTCCACAACATGCTTCATTCACACTCCAAAACAACTTCGCACTCTTATCGTTCTGAGGACATATCATCCATTCATTTTATACGAAAAAATATCTGCGCTCTGCTTGCTACTGACGCTCAGCATGCTCAACGTCGAGATGGATTCGCCCATCTACTTCCACAGGAATCCACGCTCCCTTTGCCCCTTCTCAGGGCGATGGGACGGACGAGGCCTTCTCATTATTCCCGGTAACCACATGACTCGATTCGCGTCCGATGGAGCAGGCAAGTCGGATCGTGACCATGAAAGGTTCAAGGGAGAACCAGATTACAGACGTGGATTCGACTTTCAGCAAGTAGATATCCGCTCTTGTTGCTGGGGTGTTAGGTCAGATCTGCCATACCTTCTGACACAATGAACGTGTAGACTCATGAAGCTTTTCATGACACGCCTCCCGCTGGAGATTCGATTCCAAATATATGAGCTACTTGCCCTCGCCTGGGCCCCTCGAACACAGTTTCCACTGTCTTATACGTGGTAAAGCTCCACACTGTCTCGGGTGCTCTGGCATATATAACCTTCATGTTGGAGCAAAGCTAATTTCAGGCTCGCAGGTCCGGACCTCTACGAGGCAGTGTCGTCGTCGCCCGTCGAAACGCAAAACCGCTCTTCAAACCTGTTCGCCTACACGATCTAACGAGATTATCGCCAGAGGATGCCGCTCGCATGAAGAATGAACTAGAATTTGACGAACATGGAGGCATGCTGGATTACTTCAAGATCCGCGAGTACCAGTTCCTAGAAGAGCTTCTTGAAGCTCTGTGGAAGTTCGAGGGGAGAGGTAGGGTGAGAGGTACGTGTCATGATCGCTTCACCCAGGATCCGGCGAAGACGGAGGAGAGAGAATTGGGTGTTCTGGACGAGTTTGTAGATTGGCTTTGGAGTAGGATTGTGTTGGATTTGAGTTCCATTCCGGTTGTTGAGATTGATGATGGAATGGCCTGTCCTCTAGTAAGTCACATTCTATCCAAATATCAAAAGAGTGATATCAAACTCGAGGCACGTACGGCGAGGAAGTCCGACTTTGGCTGAGATATTCATAGCACCAACGCACATTTCCCAACGCGCACATGCGCCACCACCAGCGAATATGCCACATTTCCCTCGACTACGACGCACATTATTACGCCTCCCAATTCCTCTCCCGCTGTGCATTCATCGCAACCCACCTCTCCTCCATACGTTCCCTCCTCCTCTTCGTCCAACTAAACGTACCGCAAGCACTCGATGTAATTCACGACCCTGGAAACCAGGACTGGATCAAGGCGGTCAACAAGATAGGCGTGAAAGACCAGTTTTCCTTTAAAGTCTTGGTGAATAATGGGCCTTACTATAATTCGAAACTGAAACCGCTGGAGCTGACAGTGACGACGGGGGCTGAGTTGGATCGGTTGGGGGAGGAGTGTAGGATGGTGCTGGAGAAAGTTTTGATGCCAGATTCGTTGAGGTATGATGGCGATGATGAGAGTGGGTTATCGAGGCTGTTTGAAGAGGAAGTGGTCCCATGATGTGATGCGGGTAAATGATTCTTTCTCGAGTCGTGATTAAGTAAGAATACAAGCAGTTTTAGCGTCGGAGTATATATACTTCTGTTCCCAGAAAAGGACCCTAGCGTGTTCTTGTATGGCTCATTCAAACGCATGTTTTTATCCTGGGCTATAAGGCAGACTCTATCCACACTTGCCGTATAAGGAGCTCCGCAAAAGGTGATATTAGTCGTCTGAAGCTAATGAATGCATCATATAATTTTGAAATCAACAAATAGAAGCAGAACATGGATCTTAATGGGTATACTTTTCATTCTCAGCACGGGCTTAGTCTTAGCTAGCGCACAGTTTCTTTTCTCGTATCCTACACATACAAACAAACAAAACCCAAACGCCTGTTTTATTCCACATTCCACATTCTCTCTCTTTCTCTTCGTTCCGTCTCCTCTAGAATGCAAGACCACTAGATTGATTTCACATTAGCATCCTATTTTAAAGTCATATATATCTAGATATATGGAATAGGGAATATAGGACAGGGAAAGGGAAAATAATAAAATAAGATAAAATAAAACTTACACCTGATGTATCCCACCCGGCCCATCTTCATTGAACTCGGTCCGGCTCAAAAAGCCCTTACTGAGCCCCTGATCTACGACAAAGATAACCTTGGCTGCAACCTGGCTGCCCAGAAACACAGCCTCCTCGTACTGTTTCCACTCGGAGAAGTAGGTCGGCGGACTAGCTGTTTTGATACTAGTCGGACTCTGGCTGTGGCTGGAGTGTTGGTGCACACTGCCTGCGTACGAAGCGCTGGCTTGCAGACCGGGGTTGAGAGCAGGGTTCGAGGCCGTGGTAGCGGCGAGGAGGAGGGGGTTCACGGCGCTGGCTGTAGGCGGGGCGTGGGGCGTCGAGGAGAATGAGGCGTTGGGCGTCATGGAGCCTGTGCCGGATGGGGTGGCGAGGTTGCTGGGTAGCTCGCTCATGAACATTGTCGCTGAGCTGGGGCTCACTAGGTACCGATGGTTCAGCGTCTGGAGCAAGGCGTCCTTGAAGCCGCGGACCTTGGAACCGCAGCCACAGATGACTAGAGCATCCCATGCGTCTTGGCGTTTGCTGATGTCGTCTACTGACAGGATGGTGCGGTAGATAGTGTCGGCGATCCTATCGAGGTAGGCGGGGTCTGCGGCGAGGAATCGCTCGAGCCCGATTTCGATGTCGCGGCGCGATCGGTCGGGATTTTCCTCTTCCCAGAGCTTGCGGCGGTTGCTTTTCTTTTGACCTTCGCCGGCTGCGGGGGCTTCGATTGCTGATGTGAGTTCTTCATCGGCTTTGGGTTCGGCTGGAGCGGGCTCTTCTGCTGGAATGGCTGAGACAGGCTCAGGTGTCTTTTGGCGCTTCGCAGCTGGCTCTTTTATCAACTCCTCATAATGGAACATGGCTCTTGATCTCTTTGAGTTCGGTAACCTTAGAGGCCTCGCAGCAGCAGCTTCGGCAGCCTCACGTTCCTTCGTCGCCTTCCGAACCGCTGCTCGTTCCGCCTTCTCTTTCTCCTTCTTCGCTAAGAAATCCTGCGTCTTGCCACTCGTGACAATAGTAGCAATATCTAGTACACCATCGTCCTCCATTGCTTTATCAACATCAACATCATCGGCATCTCCTCCTTCCTCTCCAACCTCCGTATCAGGCCCCGGTCCCCTCGGCGCCTCTGTGATCTTAACAGTAGGGCCTGAAGCCGTAGCGCCTGTAGATGCTGCTGCCGCGGGATTACTGATTACTTCCTCCGCGGCTTCAGTGCCTGGCATTGGAACGCCTGGTGCTAGGACCTCGCAGATAGGACTCTTCTTAAGCTGCTCCGCCATATCATGGGTGAAATCCTTTGACTTTAGTAATTCCACCAGCCGCTTCGTCATGCCGTTCCCACCGGAACTGGGAACACACCCTCGCCCTCCAATCTGGTAATCCGTGATAGCTGTAACATCGACTTTCTCATATCCAACATCAACGATTGTCGCATTCGCAATGCCAAACGCATATGAAGTAGCTAACGCGCTGTCCATGATACATAATGCGGGCGTCTTAAACTTCTCGAAAATGAAGGCAGTGAGGTCTTCGTGGTTCTTGGCCGTCCAAGAGGGTTGCGCAATTAACATGATGGGTGTATGGAGGATTGGTTGGAGTGTAGTATGGATATGCTGTAGGAGTGCAAAGAATGCCGGCATGTCTGCGATTCTGCCCTCTGTTCATAAATCAAATTAGAGATTTGCGCCTTCTCCTAAATCTATATATTTCAGCAATGTGACAGCATACCTTTTAATGGAAAAACAGCCCCCTCTTCATCCTCTGGCAACTCCACGAACTCCTCCTCCTCGTCTCCTTCTCCCCCTTCCCCACCACCCTCCTTCATTTCCACATCCTCCTTTTTCCTCGTCTGCACCTTCACGTTGTAGGGCTCATACGTCTTCCCATCCGGCGCAGGAAACATACGCGTCGGAAATCGATGCGCAGCCGGCGTGAACGATTCGGGGAGCCCCAGCTGCGCAAGAGTGGTTTGTGAACCGGGCGCTATTATTAGAATGTGTTCGTCGCGGAAGGGAGGCATTGTTGCGGTGGTTGAGGCGCGAGAAGCTTGGAGGGAGATCTGGGGATGAGGTTTGACGCGATCAGGAAATGTTTGGCCCTTGGGTTTGAGGCAGAAACTTTGGTTCACGTGATCAACCCGTTACTGGAATATGATTTGATGTTTTTGACTGAGTAGGAAAAGTGTCAATTTAAGTACAGATAAGTTGTGTTTTATATTCATCGATTGATTGTGAGCTCCGTAATAGCTTTGTTAAAAAAAAATTCTTTAAATGCAACCAGTAAGTATACTACATGTCTCCCTGCTTTGAAGTCTCCAAGATACTGCTCGTTACAAGGGGAATACACATATCATAATCTGGGTAAACGATTATGAGCTCTAGAGAAGCTTTATAGACGAGAGTTCTAGGAGAACCTTAATGCACCACCAGCACAGTAGTTTAAGACCGGGAGGCAAAAAACGGATACCGAACTCTCATATTGATTAAAGAAGGGGGATGGAGGCTTGGCCATGGACAATAAAAAATGCTCACAACTCAATAACTATATTAACATAACGGTTCAATCTATACATATTGCTAGTTCCATCGCTCTATCTAGCCCAAATCAATTTTTCCATTCATAACTACATCTTCGAAGCAAAAGAGTCCCTAGCATTAAAAACAAGAATGCGTGCGCCGCCCAGTCGATAGGGATGAATCAATGTACAATGAAGATTTGTGCGGAGCGAATCTAAAAGGTAGAGACAGCAATGGCAATAGCCTGAGTATCAGAATGCGAAACACTGATGCTGATTTCCTTCACGCCCGCCTTCTTCGCTGCGTCTGCTGCATCGCCATGTAACTATTTACTGTTAGCTGGAGCTCAAATAATTGGGTAAATAGCAGGGAGGGAGACAGAGGAACATACCGACACAATAGGAGCGCCCTTCTCGTCGTTCCCAATCTCAATATCCTTCAGCGGCGCACCGGCGCCCTTGCTCGCAACGCCCAGACTCTTAAATACAGCCTCCTTTGCACTCCACTTGCCTGCGAATGAAGCTTGTGGGCTGGGTGCCTTGAGACAGTATTCGCGTTCACCATCTGTGAAATTTCTTGTCAAAAATGTGTCGTTCTCAATATTGATCGCTGCGATATCCTCAACATCGACACCGACTTTGTTGCCGGCTTTAGCAGCACCTTTGGCTAATGACTCAACCATGTTCTTAGTCGCGTCTGTCTTGCTTTTGTCGGAAGCTGCCGTGTCTTTGGCGAAGTTGGGGGCGTAAGTGAGACCTGCTGTCTTCTTGTCCGTAGAGACGCGGGCATCCGGGTTGAGGAACACGGATTGCATTTGAGCATCTGTGTATGGCGAATCTGTCTTGGCGACAAAGAGGGTGTTGGTGATCATGCCGTTGTGAAAGTATCTATAAGCCTTCTTTTGACGGGCTGCGAGCTTGGAAGCGTAGGTCTTATATGTAGCTTCATCGAGAGTGGCGAAAAGGTATTTGGGGTGGATACCGATTGCTTGGGCGCCTTTTTGTCCGAAACCGAAGGAGGTGACGGAGAAAGCCTTGATACCGTCTGTTTGGATGCTTCGGCTGGGGTATACGATGTAGTCGAATTTCTCCATGACTTGGTCGACGTTGTCTGCGTTTCGGTTTCCGGGGACTAGACCGCTGTTGAGGACTTGCAGGCAGCCATTCATCATCCATGCACCAGCTGCACCCTTAGGGTGTCCAGTCAGATACTTCTGGAAGATACCCATAACAGCGTTACCCTTCTTTCGGCCGAGATGTTTCATTTGTTGGCAGATGACAGAAGATTCGTTCTTGTCGTTTGCCACAGTGGAAGTGCCGTGGAAGGAGGCAACGTCGAGGTCATCGATAGTCAGACCCCATGTAGCAAGGGCACCACGCAGAGGGGCGATTGTGTTATCTTTCTTCCAGAATGCATTACCAAGGCTGTTCAAGACGTCACGCTCTTGGCGGGCAGCCTCAACCTCGATGTGAGCGGCACGCTCTTGGGCATAATCCGACTCGTTGAATTCGTGACCTTGTGCCTTCATGGCAGAAATCTCTTCGTGGAGGTACTCAAGTTCTGACTCTTGCCATGACTTGATGTTCTTCTTTCGAAGCTCGATCTGTCGGCGTCGGTATTTCATGTCCAGAAGAGGTGACGGGAACTTTCCAGGGTTTTCACGAGCAGTGGTGAGAACACCCTGGCCAGGCGCAGGGATAGATCGGCCAACCTTGTCAGTAGCTGTGGTAGTCAATGCCACAATACCATAGATAGGAACACCCATATCGAGGGCAAGTCTGGCAGTCATGATGACTTGAATACCACAACCTTGGGATTCCATGAAACCATTTCTAGTAGTCGTAGTAGGTCTTGACATTTCCCTTGGTGTACGACCATGTTCAAACTCGTCGACAGCGTTGCTAGTTGCCTTCATGTTGGCGAATTCGTAAGAACCTTCCTCTTGGAAGTCATCAAAACCACCAACAAAGCATACACGAGCCTTGCCTTCAACAATAGTCTCGTATCCAATATCAACAGATTCTACGGCCGTTGCGCAAGCACCAACGGGCGTTTTGATGGGACCAGTGGAGGACATCAGCAACATATTAACCCATGCGCTCATGGTGTTGATAAATGATTCCTGAAGAACATCCTTCTGGAGTGGCTTGTCCAAGTAACGATCCTTGTACATGCCCCTCAAAGCTGTTGTGCCACCGATACCAGATCCAATACAGTTACCGACCTCAGAAATGTGAACATATTTGTAGAATTCATAAGGATCAGTGATACCAGATGCCAACAGTGATTCCACTGTGCATACAAGAACAAATAGGGTGACGGGGTCGACTTGCGAGATGATGTCGTCTGGAATACCATACTTCTTGGCATCCCAGCCGGTGGGAATTTGACCTGCGACAAGACGGTCGAATTTGAGAGCCTTGGGGATCATGAGCGTGGCACCCTTCTTCATCCTAACAATATATTCGCCGGACTCTGGAATTTCAAAGACCTCTGCCTTATCAGCGTGCTCGCGTTTGAATTCCTCGGCGGTTTCCTTGGAGGTTTCAAACGGCTCGAGATCCTCTTCTATCACAACCTCTTGAAGCAGCTGCTTCTTGTTGGGATCGTAACCTTTGAAGAGCTCCGGCTCGATGAGACGGATACCGGAGTGCTCAAGGATATGTTTCTCATATTTTGCCTTGATGTCTTTGTCATCGACTGGTTCTGCGGACTTGGCATCAACCCATCCAGAGTATTGCTTGCCCTTGATAGGTCCATTGTGATTCTTAATGAGACCCATGATCCAAGCCATCTCAACACATCCCTCCAGGGAGAATTCGCCATATGCTTCCATTTCCCACCGAGTGCGGGAGTTACCCCATGGACCGACTTCGGCGAAACCGGTAACGACAACAACTTTCTCCAGGTCGACCATGCCCTTGAGGTTCTCATTGAGTGGCTCGACTTCGGTTTTCCAGTCTGGTAGTTGAGGGAACTCGTACTTGATGTTTGCACGAGGCTCAATGGTGACTTTCTTGTAGAGGGCTTCACTATCCTCACCATTGACAATCTTGTTCTCAATCGCAGTTTCTTTGGTCACAGCCTGTCGCACTTCGCTCGTCTCCATAATGTCCTTTCGTAATTTAGTCATCAGGTTCTTGAGATCCGGGATGAATTGTAAACCACCGTTCAGATCAGCGAAAACGGGTTCTGATTGGCAAAGGTCGACGATAATTGGTGACATGAGGCCCAGCAAATTGAAAGCCATCTCTTGTTGTGAAAATGTGCGCACACCGTAAGCCTCTACCCCTTCAGCAACAATATTATTGCCAGCCATAAGGCCAGTACCACGGGTCCATCCAATAACGGCACCGCAAATTGTAAGGAAATGACCCCAGTTTTCTGAGTGCCATCTATTGAACAAGGTCTCGAGAGCCAATTTTGACTCGGAGTAAAGGCCATCGTTTCCGAAAGTACCATGGTTGGGCGATAGGGGCAAGACAACCTGAGCAGGGCGCGTCTCAAAGCCGCGTTCAGCCTTTTGACTCTTCACACACCCAAGAAGACGTAGTAAATTCGTCAACATGATGCGGTGGGCGAGCTCAGATTTGGAATCGATGCTGTCAATCTCGCGCCCATTTTCTGGAATTGCAGCAAATGGAATGATAAAGTCGAGATCCCATCCGAGACCCTTCTTGGTATCGTAGATGTAGTCGACCAATGCCTCTACATCCTGCTTGCTACCTTGGTTGAATGGCACAACAATGAGCTGAGAGCCACGTGATCCATAGCGGGCATACATCGACTGATAGTACTCCGTGACCTCACGAGAGAATCTACTTGTAGTGACCACAACCTTCGCACCACCACTGATCAGACCTTGGAGGACATCGGCACCGATTGAGCCGGCTCCAGCGCCAGTCATCAAAGCATTTTTGCCTTGGAATGTTACACCATCCTTGGCTGCTTTTTCCAAACCATCAATGTAAAGACCGGTGAGCTTTTTGCTGTATTCCCACCCGTGCTCATCCTTTCTCTTCAAGTGTAAGAAGGGAATAGTCTCGACTTTCCCAGCCTTGGCAGATCCGTTTGGCCGCGCAACGGGCTTCTTTGTCAGGCCGTTGGGTTTGCCATTTGCAGTCTCCCTTGGAATGATTTGGCCTTCACTCATTGCCAAGGACCTGATGACATCGCCATAGAGGGTCTTGATTTGAAGTTGAGACGACTTGGAAAGCTTGTGTTGTTGCTTGATGAGTTTATAGATGCGGCTGAGATCATTCTGAACTTTTGTACGGTTGCCATATTCGGATATCTTGCCTCCGTCGGCCATCTCCCGCACATAGTGCTCAAGCTTGCGTGCACTTGTTCGAGGAACTTCCGCGTAGTCCATATTTCCACGTGCGTCGATGCTCGTATGAGGACCAGTGGGGACACTGACATCTTTGTAACAAGGTGCTGCTTCTAAGACTTCTTTACAATTCTCAATAAGCTGACGACCAAGTTCTTTGGCCAGCTTGTAGGTCTCGCCTCGCTCGGTTGGGCAATTGTCGATATGATATTGCATGAATTCGAGAAGAGTAGGGTTTGAACGATTCATGATTCTAATGCATTGGCTGACAATCTCACGATCCACAGCTTGCAAACGACCGAAAATAATATCGTAGTACATAGTTAGAGCATCTTGACGTGCCCAATTCCATGACGAATCGTACACTCTGGCCTTGAGTGAGCTGAAAACTGGTACAATCCCAGCAGCGTAGAAGTCTCCGTGCTCCACGTTCCAAAGATCTAATTGAGATTGAAGCGCTTGTGACGATTTTTGGGATCCAATAAATGCCTTGTCTCCAGCTCGAAGGTCCATTTTTAAGTATCGGGCAAATAACTCAAGCTGTTGCTTGAAGAGCGCTCTTTGATCCTTGGTCAGCGCATCGAGCGCCGCTGGATCCATCATCATGCCGCCTCCGCCACCGCCGGCATCACCACCAGCCACTGGCGCTGCAAGACTGACTCCAGCATTCGCAGCATACTTATGAGAGACATCATCTAAGAAGGCCTTCGCATCGGTTTCAGAACCCAACCGAGCTGGTGGTTCCATCGTAAGAGCCAACAGCAGAACACCATCCTGTCTTCCGGGGCCAAGTCCCCATCTGGTTTCTAAATATTTTCGTGCTGCGGTAATATTAAATCCACCAGGCATCTTCGATGATATCAATCTTGCGGCAAGAGATGACGACTGCTTTCCAAGTTGGCCGTTGAACGTAGCTTGCATGGCGGCTCCTAATTCGTCCAGGGGGGTATCTTCTGGTTTTTCGGGGGTCGATCCAAATTCCTTTCCCAGGTCACCCAAAATCTCATTTTGCAGGGTAGATTTGCCTGTAGAATTGAGGAATTAGCCCGCGGTCTAGTAATTGACGTTTGAAGCTTTTGCACTTACCTCCAACGAGATCTTTGATAGCTTTGCTCAATGGAATTTCCAAAAGCGGTTTCTTTAGCTTCTGGGCAACCAAAGCGCGCACAATATCGATTGCGCCAACTGGGGCATCTGGCACTTGCGCCGCTGGTCCGGAACTAGGTGGCGAAGGAGCAGCGGGTGCAGCACTCGAAGATGCAGCCGCAGGAGTTGGCGCAGACTCACTTGCTACTGGAGCAGGTTCATCCTCGACAGGGTCTACATCGTAGTAAATCTCCTTCGCATCCTTGTTGTAGCAAAGAATTTGGCGCTGAACCGACTTTGCGGCATCGTAAGCCTCGTATTTTGATGCGAGCGTCCTCTTCGCCATTACACCAAGGGTATCCGCAGGCCCAATTTCGACAATCCGCTCTGTCGTCTTCTCTGCGAGAATGACATCTTGTGTCTCAATCCACCTCACGGGCGAGGCGAATTGATATGCCAATAGCTCAACGAGGAGCGTATGGGCGAGCTCTTGCTCGACTTCGGGACGCATTGTGTAGTTTTTCTTCGGAGCACGATTACGCAAGATTCGGAGGGTATCAAGCCAGACAATAGAGAGGTCGATGGATTCGAGTTCTTGTAGGATGGAAAGAGGAGGTGATGTTAGTCCCCAAGTGAGCTTCTAGCGGCGGCTTGAGCTCCAAATAATGTCGTGCAACAACGCAAAAGGAGCAATAAGAATAACAATTAGGATGATTGAAGGGGCGAAGTGGTAGACTTAAAAGGCCTGAGAGCTGGACCTGTGTATGAGGGTGTGAGGTATGAGGAGAATTATTAGAAGCGGAGAAAGAAGGAATTCTGCCACGGATGGTTATGCTCGAAGCTGTTGTTGAATCGTGTGCCATGTTTTACTTTTCTGCCTCTCCCAACGTCTCTATAGGCTAGTGCCAAAGGGGCTAAGCGCAGCCTCCCCTGCCAAATGAGCTTTAGTATGTGGGCGGCTCACGGCTGCTACATAGTGCCGCCCAAGGTTTCTCGGAGGGACATTTGTTAGGGAATTATGAGTAATCAAATGGTCCAATTTATTAGTTTTTGTCGCCGGCGGAGATATATTTTTGAGCGAGAATTCTGTCCCCCTTTTCTCTTGCCGGGGTCGACGCACGGCTGACAGAATTGATGGCCGCCCTTTCATCTCAGCCTTGACCAAAAACACGCCACTATTGCGATGGCCTCTTGGATTACTCAAGGCAGCTGGCAATGTGCCAATCGTTCTGTAGGAGGTGTACGAGTATGTCAGTATGTCTCAACAAATTGTGCTGATGTATATTTGTCTGTCGTAGGGTTACTGATCAGAAAGAAGGCTGAGAATGCTGCATGGGAGTGATGCACACACAGCTCTCACCCCCCGGTACTTTGTATATGTATATATGTATATATGTATATATGTAAATAATATATAGGCAATTGCACCCTTAAAAATGAGGCTCCACGAAGATACATAGATACATAGATACATAGCCGTGTTTTATGCCACCAACCGACTCTGATGATTAGACCTCTCCTCTCCCTCTCTCTCTCACTGTCATAGCAATCATGTACTGCACAATGACGCCTCACCTATTCATGTCATGCAACTCACTCGTCCATTTCAACGCTTCTCACCTGCATAAATTCCGATGCTGCGCACCAATCATGTGCCCCCCAATGGTTATGCAGCCTCGATGCTCAACACTTCAGATGCAGCATTAGCGTCGCGAGCTTGCATTTTTGGCGAGCTTGCGTTGGGGCCATCCGACCGGGGTGCAGTAATAATTCTCTAAGCTCATCTCGTCCCGACCATCATATTATCACTTCACAATCCACGAGTCTCCCTCTGGTCCTGCCTTCTTTGAAAATATACCACTTGATCTCGCTATCTCCCTAATTCCCAAGGCAAAATCTAGCATTTAACTCACCTCCTAGAATACTGGTCCTGTCATTTGCTTTCTGTACCCATAGGACGTTTGTTAGCGACAGATAACTCGGCTGCTTTTCGCAGCTCAATTGTGTTGTGGACTGCTCCTGCTCTTCATTGAGTCTCTGGAGCTTGCAAATAGGTCAGTAGCATGAATCGCCCTTGTGCCCTGCTTGTTTGCTATACCTGTACATACTGACATCCATAATTCCAGCACTGAAGTTATCTTCCCATAATCTCCCACCATGTACGGAACATCGACTGGCCCACAGACGGGCGTTTCTACTCCACGATCATCCTCATCTCTCCGACCTCTCGTCCTTACACATGGATCCCTTGAGCACTCCTTTTTAATACCTACCAATCTTCACTTCTACGCCTCCCAGATCAAAGACCGATTCCTCGCATCCCTCCCCGAGCCGACCGATGAGTTAGCTCAAGATGATGAGCCCTCCTCCGAGACAGAGCTGGTTGCGAGATACCTTGGGTTTGTTGCACAAGATGTCGAAGAAGGCGAGGATGATTCCCAAGGATCCTACGCGGATGTTCTCAAGCTGGTGCTGAACGAATTTGAGCGGGTATTCTTGAGGGGTAATGAGGTTCACGCCGTCGCTGCGACACTCCCTGGCATTAACCAAAAGAAGTTGGAGGTTGTGCAAAGCTATTATGCTGCCCGAGCCGCAATCAACCGACCCATTAGACCCCATCAATCTGCCCTTTTCCGAGCAGCGAGCGACGAGAACGCAAAGATCTATACCGTTTTTGGTGGACAAGGAAACATTGAGGAGTACTTTGACGAGCTTCGAGAGCTTTATAAAACGTATCCCTCGTTTATAGAAGAACTGGTTAGCTCAGCGGCCGAGCTCTTACAAAATCTGTCAAGAGATTCGAGGGCAGTGAAACTGTACTCGAAGGGTTTAGATGTAATGGCATGGCTCAGCGACCCAGACGCCACCCCAGATGTCGATTATATGGTTTCCGCGCCTGTTAGTTTCCCACTAATTGGACTTGTGCAGCTCGCACATTACTCTGTTACTTGCAAGGTCCTCGGTCTGACTCCAGGGCAATTCAGAGAACAGATTAGTGGCACTACGGGGCATTCTCAGGGCGTTGTTCTAGCTGCTGCCACGTCCGCCGCAGATTCATGGGAAGACTTTGAGGAAATTGCGACCTCTTCGCTTACAATTCTTTTCTGGATCGGATCACGCAGTCAACAGACCTATCCAAGAACGTCTTTGGCGCCTTCAATTTTGCAAGATTCGGTTGACAACGGAGAGGGCGCACCCACACCTATGTTGAGCATTCGGGACTTGTCGCAAGCCCAAGTTCAAGAGCACATCGATGCGACTAACCAATACCTCCCCGAAGATCGCCATATCGCCATCTCTTTGATCAACAGTGCACGAAATATGGTTGTGACTGGTCCTCCCATCTCGTTATATGGCCTCAACCTTCAATTAAGAAAGGTCAAGGCTCCAACTGGTCTGGACCAAACTAGAATTCCATTTACTCAACGAAAAGTTCGATTTTCCAACAGATTTTTGCCAATCACATCTCCATTTCACAGCAAATATCTTGCAAATGCTAGCGCGCATCTGGAAGATGATCTCAAGGACGTCCAGATTAACAGCAGTGATTTAGGCATTCCTGTCTACAACACAAACACTGGAGCGGATCTTCGAACTGAGGTTAACGGTAACATCGTCCCCACACTCGTGCGATTGATCACGCATGATGCCGTCAACTGGGAGAAAGCAACAGTCTTTCCAGGAGCCACTCATGTGCTCGATTTCGGCCCAGGAGGAATTTCCGGTCTCGGTGTTCTTACCAGTCGCAACAAGGATGGAACTGGTGTTCGTGTCATCCTGGCTGGAGCCATTGATGGCACAGTTCCGGAAGTCGGCTACAAGCCAGAGTTGTTTGACCGAGATGAAGAGCACGCTGTCAAATATGCTGTCGATTGGGTCAAGGAACACGGTCCCCGTTTGATCAAGACCTCAGCTGGCCACAAATTTGTCGACACCAAAATGAGCCGGGTGTTGGGTGTTCCCCCTGTCATGGTCGCTGGTATGACTCCTTGCACTGTGCCGTGGGACTTTGTTGCCGCAGTAATGAACGCTGGTTACCAAACTGAATTGGCTGGAGGTGGATACTACGACGCCAAAACCATGACCGAGGCATTAAGGAAGATTGAGAACAACACTCCTGCTGGGCGTGGTATCACAATCAACCTCATTTACGTTAACCCGCGTGCCATGCAATGGCAAATTCCTCTCATCGCTCAACTCCGTGCCGAGGGTGTGCCAATTGAAGGTCTTACCATTGGAGCTGGTGTACCATCAATTGAAGTCGCCCAAGAATACATTGAAACACTCGGTTTGAAGCACATTGCTTTTAAGCCAGGATCCGTGGAGGCCATTCAGGCTGTCATTAACATCGCCAAAGCAAACCCTCACTTCCCAGTCATGCTTCAATGGACTGGAGGCCGTGGCGGTGGACATCATTCTTTTGAAGATTTCCATCAACCAATACTGCAAATGTACGGTCGTCTTAGACGGAGCGAAAACATCATTCTTGTTGCAGGGAGTGGATTTGGTGGATCTGAAGACACATACCCCTACCTCACGGGTACTTGGTCTGCCAAGTATGGCTATCCCCCAATGCCATTCGATGGATGTCTGTTCGGTAGTCGCGTGATGACTGCAAAGGAAGCACATACGAGCAAGAATGCGAAGAAAGCTATTGCCGATGCTGAGGGTGTTGATGATCACAAGTGGGAACAGACCTACAAGGGTCCTACCGGTGGTGTAATTACTGTCAGATCCGAGATGGGCGAGCCGATTCATAAGCTCGCAACTCGTGGTGTCAAATTCTGGGCAGAAATGGATGCCAAGATTTTCAGCTTGCCGAAGGAGAAGCGTGTCCCAGAACTCAAGAAGAACCGGGATTACATTATCAAGAAGCTCAACGACGATTTTCAAAAGGTCTGGTTCGGCCGCAACAAGGCCGGAGAGACCGTAGATCTTGAGGACATGACCTATGGCGAGGTTGTTCGTCGTATGGTAGACTTGATGTTCGTGAAGCACGAGGCTCGCTGGATCGACAGATCTTTCGAGAAGCTTACAGGAGATTTCATTCGCCGTGTCGAAGAGCGCTTCACCACAGGTCAAGGAAAGCCATCTTTACTTCAGAGCTACTCCGAGCTTGATGATCCATACCCAACTGTTGAGAAAATCTTGGCTGCCTACCCAGAGGCTGAGACACAACTCATCAATGCACAAGATGTGCAACATTTCCTCCTGCTCTGTCAACGCCGAGGTCAGAAGCCAACTACCTTCGTCCCGGTCTTGGACGAGAACTTTGAGTTCTTTTTCAAAAAGGACTCCCTGTGGCAGTCAGAGGATTTGGAGGCTGTTATCGATCAAGATGTGGGTAGAACCTGTATATTGCAGGGTCCCATGGCAGTAAAGTATGCCAAAGTGGTTGATGAGCCCGTCAAGGACATTCTCGACGGTGTTCACGATGCTCATATCAAGAATTTGACACGGGATGTCTACGGGGGCCAAGAATCTTCGATCCCCGCCACTGAATACTTTGGTGGGAAATTGATCGACACTGAGCTTGAGGTTGACCTGGAAGGTCTCACAATTTCACAAGATACCAACAAGACAACTTTCCGCATTGCATCGTCAGGATCTGCTCCATTACCGCCTCTTGACACCTGGTTTTCACTGCTTGCAGGTCACAAGAGGTCATGGCGTTATGCACTGTTCTCATCTGAAGTCTTTGTGCAAGGTCAGAAATTCCAAACCAACCCTATGAAGCGCATCTTCGCCCCAGTTCGAGGTCTCTTTGTTGAGATCTTACATCCGAACGAGCCAGCAAGAACAGTGATCACAGTAAAGGAACAACCAAGACCGAACCAGTATGTTCAAGTGCTTGATGTTAAACTCACTGGCAAGAATGAGATCTCGGTGAACCTGACAAAGGAGACTACCGCTCTTGGAAAGCCTCTTGCATTGCCGCTTATATTCACGTATCACCCTGAAGCAGGATATGCTCCCATTCGCGAAGTCATGCAGACCCGGAATGACCGCATCAAGGAGTTTTACTGGCGGGCTTGGTTTGGTAATGAGACTCTTGACCTGGACGCGCCCGTCACTGGCGTGTTCAAAGGTGGAAAGGCCACTATCACGAGCGAGGCTATTAATGACTTTGTTCACGCTGTTGGTAATACTGGAGAAGCGTTCGTTGACCGACCAGGAAAGGAAGTCTTTGCCCCTATGGATTTCGCTATTGTCGTTGGCTGGAAAGCCATTACCAAGCCAATCTTTCCTAGGACCATTGACGGTGATCTTCTGAAGCTGGTCCATCTTTCAAACGGCTTCCGCATGCTACCTGGTGCCGAGGCGCTGAAGAAGGGCGATGTAGTTGAGACTACTGCTCTAATAAATGCTGTCATTAACCAAGACGCTGGCAAGATGGTTGAGGTTTGCGGAACGATTACACGCGAAGGCCGCCCAGTCATGGAAGTCACCTCGCAATTCTTGTATCGTGGTGTCTACGACGATTTCGAGAACACTTTCCAGCGAAAGACGGAGACTCCAATGCAGATTCATCTTGCAACAAGCAAGGACGTGGCTGTCTTGAGATCTAAGGAGTGGTTCGGTCTCGATGAGCCTGAACAAGAGCTACTTGGTCAGACCCTCACCTTCCGTCTGCAAAGTTTGATGCATTTCAAGAACAAGACGGTTTTTAGCAATGTGGAAACTCGGGGCCAAGTTCTCTTAGAACTACCAACCAAAGAGATTATCCAAGTCGCCAGTGTCGAATACGAAGCGGGTGTATCGCACGGAAATCCAGTAATTGATTACCTCCAACGACATGGATCTTCTATCGAGCAGCCAGTGATCTTCGAGAATGCCATTCCCCTCAACGGCAAGACCCCGCTCCTTCTAAGAGCACCTGCATCCAACGAGCCATACGCTCGCGTTTCCGGTGACTACAATCCTATTCACGTATCTCGTGTCTTCGCCGGTTACGCCAACTTACCTGGTACAATTACTCACGGCATGTACTCTAGCGCTGCTGTACGGAGTCTTGTCGAGACCTGGGCTGCCGAGAACAATGTTGGCCGTGTAAGAAGCTTCCATGCGTCGCTTACTGGCATGGTTCTTCCAAATGATGATATCGAGGTCAAGCTTCAGCATGTTGGTATGGTTGCTGGCCGAAAGATTATCAAGGTGGAGGCAAGCAACAAGGATACAGAGGACAAGGTCTTACTTGGTGAAGCCGAAGTTGAACAACCAGTCTCGTCCTATGTCTTCACTGGACAAGGTTCTCAGGAGCAAGGAATGGGTATGGAGCTTTATGCAAGCAGTGAAGTTGCCAAAGAAGTCTGGGACAGAGCCGACAAACATTTCATGGACAACTATGGTAAGTGTTTCAATCGCATATCGAAATCAATTGTAGCTAACATTATCCCTAGGTTTCAAAATCACCAACATTGTGAGGAACAACCCCAAAGAGCTTACCATCCACTTTGGTGGTCCTCGCGGTAAAGCCATCCGTCAGAACTACATGACAATGACTTTCGAGACTGTCGGCGCCGATGGCTCCACAAAGTCTGAGAAGATTTTCAAGGAGATTGATGAACATACCACATCATACACATACCGATCGCCGACTGGCCTTCTTTCCGCAACGCAGTTCACCCAGCCGGCCTTGACCCTCATGGAAAAGGCTAGTTTCGAGGACATGAGATCAAAGGGCCTCGTGCAACGTGACAGCAGTTTCGCCGGTCACTCCCTCGGAGAATACTCTGCTCTTGCTGCTCTTGCAGATGTCATGCCTATCGAGAGTTTAGTATCCGTTGTCTTCTACCGTGGCCTCACTATGCAAGTAGCCGTCGAACGCGACGAAATGGGACGCTCCAACTACTCCATGTGCGCCGTCAACCCCTCCCGCATCTCCACAACCTTCAACGAAGAAGCCCTGCAATACGTTGTTGCCAACATCGCCGAGGAGACCAATTGGCTGCTCGAGATTGTCAACTACAACATCGCAAACATGCAATACGTGTGTGCTGGTGACCTGCGTGCTCTCGACACCCTTACAGGCGTCACGAACTATCTCAAGGCCCAGAAAATCGACATCCAGCAATTGATGCAAACCCTCTCCCTCGAAGATGTCAAAGCGCATCTTGGAGAAATCATCCGCGAGTGCGCCAAGCAGACAGAAGCCAAGCCCAAGCCGTTGGATCTCCAACGTGGCTTCGCCACCATCCCGCTCAAGGGCATCGACGTACCTTTCCACTCCACATTTTTGAGATCCGGCGTCAAGCCCTTCCGTTCCTTCCTGTTGAAGAAAATCAACAAGACGACGATCGATCCAAGCAAGCTGATTGGGAAGTACATACCCAACGTGACAGCGCGGCCGTTCGAGCTTACAAAGGAGTATTTCGAGGATGTGTATCGGCTTACGAACAGTCCGAAGATTGGAGCGGTGCTTGCGAACTGGGAGAAGTATGAAGAGCCTGTTACAAACGGGGTTAATGGAACGCACTAGATTCGAGACTTGATTTTGGGGGAGTTGGGGACTGTAATTAGTTAGATGCTTTACGCTTTTCATTTTGAATTGCAACTTGACCTGTCTATATTTCAAAAAGCGAGTAGATAGAAACAAATTCATTGTATTACATTTCCTTCTCTTCCTCGAATCACCGTGAAGTTTACGACCTGCTAGATGAACTGGTAGGGTGCTATCAAATACACTTGTCGCGGAAGATTTCCCCTTGGAAATGCATTACTGGAAGCAACTGATGTCGAAGGAGCATTTGTTTCCACACATAATTTGCCAAGCTAGCTACGAATCAACACAAGCAAGACTAAGAAATCCAGAGGATCCAATTCTAGTTTCTGCGAATACAGGTTTGTTCTTTCCCCTTGAATCAAGGCCAGGCCAGTAAGAGTAAGATCACAATCTTGGGACATGTACTGTAACAAATGATCAAGCCAAGCAGCAGGGAGCTGGCAAGCGAGTAGTAGAGTAGAAAGAAGTTGGGTTTGTGGAGATTAAGAAGGGTTTGTATCTCAATGCTCAGTGGCACTTGGAACTGAGTTGGGGGAGGGAGTTGGGGTTGGGGTTCATGCAAGGATACCCACCCGTGAAGAGAACCGGGCGTAATAAACTCTTAAACGTCGGGCTGGTGATATGGATGAGAGAGGGAAAGAAAGAAAGAAACCTAAGAATTGGCTCGGTAGAATATCACAGTGCTTGCCTCCGAAACTACTCGTGAGGCTTCGGTATAGTCAGATTTGCCTGCCTTAGAGACAGGAACGCCATGCATGCAAGAGTATTTCTGGTTGATGATTAAGATTAATGTACCATGTTCTTGTATAGAGCAGCTAAAGTTTATGATTTTCAATACAAATACACGACGATGCTATACCATAATGCTTCTTACCTATTGAGCCCAGCAAAACCTTGGGTTACATAAAGTAGCGTCGCTCCTGCTAACCTAGGATATGATAGATATTATTAGGTACTTGTTCTCCGTGTAATGATAAAATAACAAATGACCATATGCATCCCGACATTATGGGAGCCAGATACCCAGAAATGGACGAGAAAGGGAGGTGGCGGTGGCTGGTGGCTCACGTCTTCTGTCTACGCGAGAATCCGCGTAACGGTTCTTGAGGAACGAAACGGTAAATTCTATAGCACCACCCCACCGCATTGCTTGTGATTATAAGGAAGAAGCTGGGACAGCAACTTCCTTCTGCTTCCTCTGCTAATATATGTACATGAACAACATATGTCACACGCTCATGAATCCCACTCGCTCCAAGCGCCTGCTAACGCCAAGTAAAACATGTTTGGAGATGAGTATATATCGTATATACCGTATCCAAAGAAAGAAATGAAAACCGTGTTTATGACTGCATGGGCCTATAAGGGCCAGCCTGTCCATCTGCACCTGCTAACTCGTGAGTCCTCCGGGTACCGTCAGCGCCTATCTCAACAGGTGGTTTGGGATCTTGAGAATGAGTATAGGGTAATGCTTGAGCAGTGGGATAGGTTTGAGTATTGGGATAGGCTTGAGTGTTGGGATAGGTTTGAGTGTTGGGATAGCTTTGAGTATTGGGATAGGCTTGGGTGTTGGGATAGGTTTGAGATTTCTCTGCAAAAACACGTTTCTTATGCTCGCGCCGAAAGAACAACAATCCCGACAAGGCAAGGATCGAAAGGACTACCACGGGGACGGCAATCGCTACACCTAACGTCGCTGAGCTGATACCTGTGCTCTGCGCTTGTCTTGTCGGACAGGCGTTTGTCAAGGCCGAGGCCGTGACTGTGGTAGTCGTTGAGCTCGAACTAATCGTCGTGTTCGAGCTCGACGCGTCCGCGACGGCGTCCCCAGTAATGCTCGTGGCTGTGAGGTAGGCGACTGGCATGGTAAAGTTTGCGGTTAAACAATCCGTCTCATTCTTGCTGCAAGTGAAGGTCTGTTTGGGGCCTGCAGTGTAAATATTCCCACAAGGTAACACTACTTGGAAAGTGCTTAGCACACCTGCGATATAAGGTCAGCGCTCAGTTTCGCGTCAACGAACGTAGATATACATAGAAAGCTTAATTGATTAACTTACTAGACTTCATGGCCGATATATCGGTTGCCAAACTAGTACAACGATTCGCACAGGAGGGAGAAGGAAAGAGTCTATCGGTACATCCTCCTCGGTAGAAGAAGAACTGTTTGCTTAGACATAGGCCGTTATCAAAACAGGAATCGTCGGGCGCGCAGCACGCAGTGGTTTGAGCACTTGGGTCACACGGGACCATCGGAGGACTTGAAGAGTCTGGGACGCTACCAGATGGAAAGTAGCATGTATGCGACATGGCTTTACGTTGACACTGAGGTATACAGTTCCAGTTGGGGGGGGGGGGGGGGGGAAATAACAAGCCTTGGGGGAATTGCTGCAGAAGGAAGAGATATATTTTGATGGGGGCGTACGAAGTGAAGATAGAAGGAGGCTTGTGGCTTGTTATTACTCTACTTGAGTAGGCCTTGCAACAAACACCAACATTGAATGAAGGGGCTGCGCATTGCGAACAGTCCTATCAATACCTTGTCTACGAACCATGGGCGGTTGCATGCGAAACGCGGACTCTTTATGAAAGATTGGGGGTTGAGGCATCAGTACGAGATCTACCACCTATATTCAACTACGGAAATAACCACGGAGACAGAGTGTGTACTATGTGTGGCCACGATATATTGATCCTCAAATCCGTCGCCTACAGTATCAGGTGTGTAGATCAAGGTTTCGAACATGCTAGCCGCTCACCGACAAGCCGCCATGGTCTTGGATGGAAGCTCTATGGACTGGTACGCGAAAGGAATGTGTTTCGGATACTTATGTGTACGTATAGTTGTAGGTACAATGGTAGGTACCGTAGTACAGTAGGTAGTGAGGGAGGTACATCCTCCGAAGGATGTACGTGAGGTACGGTAGGAAAAGGTCTGGCGCGTGGGTGACTATTTATATTTAAAGCTTGTCCTTAATGACAGGAGCTCGGGCCCCCAACACGTGACTCGGTGCTTCACATCTATCACGGACACGTCAAGTTTTGCGACGAATAATGCACTGCGCACTTCCATACCAGCCATTCCAGCATTTTAATCTCTCGCCAGAGGCGGCACGTTAGTATTTGAAATGTCTACAGGAGAACAAACACCTAAACGGGAAGCCACACCGTCAACTGCCGTCCCAATATCAGCAATCCCTCCAAAACGCGCTCCGGACGATGATCATCAACCTACCGTTTCCTCCCCTCTAAACCCCGATTTCAAGCCGTCCAGACCCCCAGATGACGCGCCTCTCGCTCGCGAACGTGCATCTAGAGCAAAGAAAGAGTCGCTGAAGAAGCGGGAATCGAAAGGAGGAGCACATGCTTCAGAAATCAGCGGGAGAGCTACCCCGGATCCTAAAGCAAGCACTTCACATAAACACAAACGGAAAGGGAGTCCCCCAGCGCCTATTAGATACAAGCTGCCTCCGCCGAAATCTACAGACTTTGAAGCTCCACGGGGACCAATTTTCATTCCGGCGCATACGAAGAACGCGCCAGATGGTACTGAGATTCAGTTTCAGGAAACTACGGACCAGTATGTTACAAGAACTATTGAATGTTCAATGCTAACATTGGCAGCGTCTATAACAAGAAAAACTTCCATTATACACACTGCATAGCAGACCCCGCATTCCCATCTTCTCTCTACTACCGGCAGACAGAAACCGAACCATTTGGACCAAGACTCAACTTCGAGGATACCTCGACGCATATGTTCCTAGATGAAGGCGCTCATCATATCACCACCAATAAAGGCTTCAGAATGGCCAAGGGGAATGTGGGTGTAAGATCAGGCAGATGGTACTGGGAATGCAAGATTACAAGTGGAATACCAAAGCGGAAACACAGCACCTCGAATCTCAATACAGAGAGCGCGAACGGACATGTACGGATGGGATGGGCAAGACGAGAAGCTACGTTAGATGCACCTGTTGGTTTCGACGCCTACAGCTACGGATTGCGAGATGCACAGGGGCAGAAGGTGTTCATGTCTAGACCCAAAGATTTCTTCCCGCCGGGCCAGGATATCCAAGAAGGGGATGTGATTGGGCTAGAGATAAACCTACCATCAGAAGCTCTGCATCGAAAAGTGGTCGAGGGACACTATAACCCCGCAGTGGATCTAGCGGACGATGAGGCACCTTTAATAGAAACATCAGACATAATCCGAGACCGGGTTCCGATACGATTCAAGGCACATTTGTATTTCGAACAGATCGAATATTCCCCCACCAAGGAACTAGAAGAGCTGATGAATCCGTCCCCCATCATCTCTTCAGCAGGCGGACTCGGTGGAGCTGGACAGGAACCAGGGCCAACACATACAATCCCATCTCTACGCACGCTACCACATTCCAGCATCAAGATATACAAGAATGGCGAGCTGATCGGCACACCATTCACCGATCTCCTAGCCTTCCTCCCACCAGCCTCCAAACCCCTCGCCCAAGTCGGAGCACGAGACGGTCTAGACGACGGCATGCTAGGCTACTATCCCGCCGTCTCGGTCTTCCGCGGCGGTGCAGCAGAAGTCAACTTCGGTCCGCATTTCTGGTATCCACCTCCGGGCTTCGAAGACGACGACGAGGTCGATATGATTGGCAGCGACCAACCGCCCCCGTCGTCGAAATCTGGTCGGTTGAGAGCAGTGGGGGAGAGATATGATGAGCAGATCGTAGAGGATATCGTGTATGATATTGTTGACGAGGTTGATTTCTGGCTACAGGATGGCGGGGTTAGTGGCAAGGGGGCTGCGGCAGGTGTGCTGAGGAATACGGGTGTCGCGGCAGCGCCTGATGGGGGGATTAAGGAATTAGTGCAGGAGGATGATTAGGTGATTACTCTATATTTCTCGATATCTGCCATTTTGTATGAGAGTCAAGTAGGTAGCTGTAGCGTCAAAACATGGAAAATAATACCCCAGCGCGTCTGAGACATTCAGAAAAATCCTTTCATACAATATATGCCCCATGCTTCCCATATATACAAACAAGTATATCCCATCCCATCCCATACTTCCAACAAACAACCAAACAAATAAGCAAAATGGTATATACTCCTCCAGCCCAATCCCATCTATACAATCTACCCAATCTGACTCATCTGCAACCTCCTCTCAATAGCCCCCAACCGCCCCTCGCACTCCCTCATCATGCCCATGCAATCCCCCAGCATCCACCGCGTCTCGGTAGCTTCTACGGCTATGCGTCGCGTCTGCAGCCTTTGCAAGCTATGGGACGAAAGGTAGGGATATGTTAGCATGTCGTCTTGTCTTGTCTTTTGCAGAATCAAATAATCGAATCAATGGACTTTCTTCTGTTGATGATGATGATGAACAAGTACTAAACGGGACAGAGGTGGAAGTGGGTATGGAGGTGGAGTATGCACTTATTCGCAATTCTATTTACGCCCCCCTTATTCCTTAACCATAATACTCTATGCCACAGGTCGCAGCGGTACGCTTGTTGCGTAGCGTCGTACGACCATTCTAGTTCTTTTTCTAGGCCGTCGTGCGGGGATATGAGGAAAGGGTATTCGTAGTTTTTGAAATCGTGGATTAGATCTTTGAGCTTTGGGGGTGGCTATCAGCTTCTTTCCTCCTTTCCTTCTTTCTCCAATCCAAAATGCATAGACAGCGCAGCAATTACTTGGAAACGAGATGAATCAACTCACAGCATTATTCATCACCTTCGTCGGACCCCCCTCGTAATACAAAGACTTGGTTTTCGAATCGCGCACGCGCGAACCTTCACGACGCCGCCGGACTTGCTTCAGGTATTCGCGCTCTTCGTATAGGCCCTGCCGCAGCGTGGAGAAGGCGTCTGGGATTTCTCGGGGCGCGGAGAGCACGGTTTGGAAGCCGGACCAGAAGGCGTGGACCCCTGGAGAATAGAGAGAACGAGTGAGTGTTAGTATTACTGTACGTTCTCATATTCATAGAGAGAGAGGAAATCGAGTCGTCTTTGGACGTGGTGGGTAGGAGGGGG